GCAGCTCAAATCCCCAGAGAGGAGAGCAAAGCTGATAGGAGCACGTAATGGAGTCACTGGCATCAATGAAAGAAAAGTGGCTCAGGACTAATCACACACCTGGGATAAGAAGTGGGTTTATTGTCAGGAGCCTGACAAGGCTGGTCTGCAAAAAGAGGGACAGCAGCAGCAAGGAGGGAGAGCGGGTATTGTGACTGGGTCAGAAAATGGAGAGGGCTTTTGAGACAGATGTGAAGGAGATAGAAGGACTGGAAACATCCCAGATGGTAGGGTCCACCTTGGAAGGGGGTAATGGGAAYGCACTGGCAGATGGAATAGGGGATGGTCCTAAGGTAAGGGTGAGGATCAGGGGAGCAGCAGGTGAGTTTGGATGGAGGCATATATGAGGGGAGAAGGAAAGCATAGCTACCAAGTTTGTGAGGATGTCCCTTCCTATAAAGGGAACAGGGCACTGTGGAATAACCAAAAAGGAGTGGGTAAAAATTAGAGAACCAAAAGCACAAACAAGGCTAGGTGTCTGTAAATGTTGGTAGTAGGCCCTTAGAACTCCTTGAGGACTGAATATGTATCTCCCGGGGTATAGAAGGAAGGAGACAGGCCTACCTGAAATACTCAGAGTTACCCTGGGTTCCCATGGAGTGATGGTAGTGGTTGGGTGATGGGGACCTGGGCCTCGTCAGTCCTCTGTAGCCAGTTCTAAGATTTGGAAAGGAGAGCTAAAAGGGCTGGATAGCTGGGGGCTGCTATGGACTTGGGGACAGTCAACAGCCCATTGTCCCTCCTGATGGACAGAGCCCAGAGGCTTTCGAGGCTTGAGACATGTACAAGCCCCGTGACCCATTGACCACATTTAAAACAGGGTCTGGGCAGTTCTGAGGGACTCTTCCATGGGCCAGTGGAACCAGGGAAAGATGCTGAAGCCAGCCAGGTGACTTGAGTGAACATCTAATATTTCTGCTTCCGGGCCTTCTCGTCTCTCCTGTTATACACCTTAAAGTCTACTCCCAGAACCTCAGCTTGGGGAGTTAGGTGCCCCCTCTCGAGGCACCTTAGTTTGGCTTTAATATTGGAGAAACTCTAGGAGAAAAAGTAGACCATTAGTAGTTGTCTTCCATCTGGAGTCTCAGGGTCAGATTAGTATATTGTAATAAAGCCTTGGCCAGGCGGTCTAAAAATGCTGAAGGTTTTCATTTTTATCTTGGATGACTTCCTGGAGCTTTTCATAATTGATAGCCTTATGGGCTGCCTTTCTAAGTCCTGCCATGAGGCAAGTAATGAATTGCTTTCTACTAGTTACTCCTCCAGGCAAATTATAATCCCAATTGGGGTCCCAATCAGGAACTGCTTCAATGCCAATTGGATGGGCAGGGGAAGTCTGAGGTACCTCATCTGCATAATTTCTAGCTTGCTCCCAAACTTGCCTGGGCTCCTCAGGCAGGAGGACATCAAAGGTGGAGGGGCCGATGGGACAGTTGCTACAGAGGCTTCATTAGAAAGAGAATTATGGTGTGGTGGGAGCTCATCTGCTGGGTCTAAGGAGGAGTCCTGGGTACAATCTTTTGTCCCTTTGGAAGCAGGCATAGGGGAGGAGAGAGCTAAGAGAACTTGTGCAGGAGAGCAAGAGTTGCAGAGAGAAGGCTTAGAACAGAGAGGAGAAAGCCTGAATGAATGATATCTCTTTCCATTTTACCGAATGTTCACCATAGTTTAAAAGATCCCTGATAATATTGGAATCTAGAGGGCCATTAAGAGGCCATTTAGAGTCCAAAGGGTATTGAGGACAGATCTGATTGCACAAATGAATAAGTTTTTAGGGTTTAGGTCCAGGGTGAGAGAGAGAGACCCTAGGTTAGCCAGGAGGCAGCCTAGAGGACTATGGGAAGGAATGAATGAGGAGCCACCCACGGTGAGATACAGAAGGTGAGTTTAGAGGTGGGTGTCTCCCAGTCTCTAATATCACCCAGTCGAGAGGACTGGTTATGCTCAGGGGGTTGTCACCACTGCTGGGTAAGCATCAGAAGCCGGACCTGAAGAGGCACTTGGGCACCTGGCTGGGACTACATAGGGGCAAAAGCCATAGAGATTAACCCAAAGCCAAGAGGTAGTCTCACCAGGAACAACTCCCAATCACCCTTGGTGGTTTTTCTCAAAACCCGGGACCCAAATAAAAGTCCGCCTATAGACTCGGTCAACAGTAGGGATCAGCYGTAGCTGTAAAAGCTGTGGCTGTGGGTGCCCTGACCACACGGTAACCCTGGGAGTGCCGAACGAAAGATGGCACTTTCAGGGACCTGAAGGTTGTTTAGGTTGACCAGAGACAGGGCTCTTACCTGAAATAGTGGTGGGTGCAGAGAGGGTATTTGGCAGAATGGAGGGCCTGCTCCCATAATGGAATTCAGATAGGGGCCCGGAGACACTCAGTGACCCTTTAAGAGAGGAATGGGCACACCAGGAAACCCAATCCTGGGTTTTGGCACCAAGGAAAGGAAAGTGAGGAACCGGAAGACAGGCAAGCGAGAGAAGAAAGACAGAGCCAAGGCAGAGATACATGCGAGAGTTTATTGGTCAGAGCTGACAAATAAAAGCACATCTCTCCATAGATGGAGAGAGGCAAAACAGGCTTGGGGTTTAGGACTTTTATGAGGCAAGCTCAGGGATTAGAGCTGGGCGAGCCCGAATCGGGGTGGTTAAGGGTGGAGTTGGTAAAAGGGAGTGGTGAGCCTTTCTCAGAAAGGCCCTTGGGCAGGAAAGTGAAATCTTTCTTAAAATGGAGGCTGTCATTGAAGATGGCCATCCAGATGCTAAGCAAGGACCTTACACTGGGAAGAAGCACATGGGTCTCAGGTTGTTTTGAAGTGAGGGAAAACATTTTTAAATTATCTTTAAACTCTTTGCTCTGCCTCTGAGCTACACCCCCACTTGATGTTCTTATCTCAACCTATATTCTTAATTTAATATGAGTAGTGATAAAATCAATTATATTAACTTTTATATAAGATAACTGGTCAGTACTTGGTCCAAGCCTTTCCCTTTCATTTTCCAAATGATTTTATTCACTATATTCTGGGCTAAATATATTGTACAATATATTTTACTTATTCATTTTAACTTTAATAACTCAAGTATTGGGAGATGTTGGTCACAGGTACAGAGTTCAAGTTAGGAGAAAAAGATTTAGTGATCTGTTGCACTGCATTGTAATGATTGATATAATAATGACATAATATTTGATATAATAATGATATAATAATTGATATAATTGATATAATAATGTTAAACTTTACATCTCATTTAACTGGATTTTACGGGAGTTTCTTGGCAGTAAGTACTATTAGCAAAAATACCGCTAAGATTTATCAAGCTTTGGTTATGTGTACTTAGTATTCGATACTTTACCTGTATTATTGCACTTAAAATTACTATAGGCCCACAATTTGGGTACAATTATCATCTCTATTTTACAAATGAGAAAAGTGAAAATGAGAGCAGATAAGAAACTTAACCAAGGTTGCACAGTAACTAGCAGAGTGAGTAAGTGAACACAATTCTAATAGCTGGGTCTATTTTTATAAGCACTAAGTTACAATACACTGAGAGGAAGAACGGAAGTCATATGGCACCCCAATAGTAGTAAAGCACTGAAAATATTTTATTTTCTTTCACAAAGAATATATAATAAATCCTTTAGGATGAATTTTGTTTACTATTTGTCTCTGACTGTAGCTATGTGATTGCAGGCATCTGATGGAAGCCAAAAAATTCAGCCAAATAGCTAAGAACCTACTGGACTCAACACTTAGACACTTTAGTGACCAAGGAGATTTTTACTGTGGCATCCTGGTATCTTAGAGTCAAATTCCAAGCTAAACAGTTTTAGAACTAAAGATGACATTCTGTAGGACTGCAATGATCATATTTTCTAGTTTAAAACTGAAACACACAARCTGATAAATGTGTGCTGTGTGCAAAGGAGAATTAACTGAGCAATTAGAAACTTTGTCTAACCACTCATAGGCCCTGTACAACTTACGGTCCCGGTGTCAATGTACAGGAGAAAGAGACCTCAAAATAGAGAAGGAATGACCTTTTTCATGTACCCAAAGTCTTTTTAGAGCTGGCCAAACATCATCTATACAGAACTGAGACACTTTCAATGTTCAGCTAACAACCATGTAGGAATCATTCCCTTCCAACAAAGTAGAAGCTCTGTGGAAGGCTCTGCTCCTGTTTCCGAGCATTTGCTCAGTCAATATTCTCAAGGCACACGCACCACCGAAGCAAGTACCAAGATTTTATTTAGAGAAAATACTACTTAAGAGTAAACAAGGAGACAGATTTAATTTCAGCTATCCAGCACCTATCCTACCCAACTACCCAAATGAACTCTACAATATTTTTCTGGAATCAGTGTGGAAAGATCATGCTATTTGGGGGTGGGGGTAGGGGTGAGGGGGTTGTAGCTCAGTGATAGAGCACTTGCCTAGCATGTGTGAGGCACTGGGTTCAATTCTCAGCAC